TTTAACCGAAGGAATGTTTCTGATGACATCCTCATTCTTAATTACTCAGACAACGTTAATGAGAGATCTTGCGCTCGAAGCGGAATACAAGACCACTGGAGCAAGAGCTTTATTAGCCTGACGTTTTAAATTTTCACCAGAAGCCATCATCATCAGACACAATCGCCAACCCTGCTCCGTTTGCACAAGCTTCGGTCTGGGCTGCGTGATACACCCATGTGTGACCAGTTTAGTAAACAAAACTCCGGCTTAACAAGTTCTGGCGTGTTAAAAGTTGGCAATGAGAACTTCACTTTCAGAGGGGTACTGAAAGATATTTCTACATTGGCAGTTTGGAGCCGCCCCGGCGTAAAGAAATTGCATATCAACCAAATTCTGTCATCCAAGAAGTTTATCAGTGATTTTTTAAGAATTCTATCCAGACGCAGCTGAATTAACCGGAAATAAGTATGCTAGTAGACACACCGCATTATAAAAACTCCATTCAGTAAATACGGTAGGCAAGACGTTTTGCAGGGTGCATTAAAGTATGTGAGTGCACCCGGCGTCGGGGACTCGGACGAGCACGTTTACTTCACTCTCACTTAATCCTAATATAATTACCTAGCCGGCATGGGACACTAGCAGAAGGCAAATTCTGCATGAAGACACAATAGGGGGATAGTAAACAAAAACAGTCTGTTCTGCAATCGGGTCACCTCGGGACACAACACGCCCACGTTGCGTGCCCTATTGCGAATTTTAACGTACAAAATGCGAGTCCATGGTCAAAGTACCAGAGACCCTGGACAACGGAACCCAGGTTGCAATTTAAAATCTTCCCGGTACGAGCTGAGGGAATGGTCGGTTGGCCGATTAATCGAAAATGGCCATCACAGCTTCAAGACTGGTTTCCGCACATATTTCTGTTCCCTATACGACTGTCTGTGAGGGCTCTAGACTGGTCGTGCATGTCCTCCAACCTAATCGGTGGGACCCCTTCCCGCAACAGTGCATTTTTTGGTCACAATGTTTGGAAGGACGAATCTGTGGCCCAGTGGCATAGTGCTGAACTTGAAAAAAAAATTCTGCAAATATTCCCATTCTTAAGTTGAGAAGTCAAGATTGGCAAACATATGTTTTCAGCAAATCATCGTCAGGCCAGAACATTTGCAGGGTAATTAAAACTATACAGATGTACAGGGTTAAATAGTGCAGTCTAATTACAACTCATCATTTACGCGTCGCCCGCATGGCGAGGTCGGCGTGTAGAGGTTCGTGCTTTGGGGGAGGGGAAGGGGAAGGGGAGGTAATTGGGTTAGGTTGTGGGGGTTGATCAGAGGGCAGATACATGGGGGGATAATTGCTGCTATTTGTGCACAGCGAACGACTGTCACTGGGGCAAAGTGCGATCGCCATCTGGCGTCGGGGTCGGCCACGGAAGTGCAAGGGCTTCTGTCAGCTTCTTCTG